CTCTCTCTCTCTCTCTCGCTCTGACTGCATCCATCCCAAGGCACTCACATCCAGCATATGTTTGTCTACCTGTCCCTGTGCAAAGCTTAAAACTGAAAAATATATGTACTAATAAAGCCGGCTATATTCAGTGACAAAGGTTGGGATAGACCAGGAAGATTGATATATAGCTTGTACATGCCATGGTAATGGACGTGACAATTATATGGTTGGGCATTCGCACAATATAGACATATCATGAACACAATATGTCCCAAGTAAGTCTACCTCCAAACATGCCTATTCCACACCGGCTTAGACTTCACGGAAGTGCCGTTCGAAACCGGCTGGCTGAGGCCACCAATTCCAGAGCATCCGAGTCTGCGAAAATTAGATTTCGCTCTCATGCAGGACATCAGTCAAAGATATCAAATGTATGAAGTGGGTGTTCGGACCAAGATGGTCATTATGGCTCTGTAGACTGAAGCCGGCTGCCAGTGCTTGACCATCCTGTCTTGCTCGAATTAATATTAAATGTCGTTTCCATCTGATGAGGCTGGAGCCTGTCTCCCCAGTGGAGCGCTCCAGTGAGGATACGATGCCCAAGGTGCACCTGTTTAACCCGGCACCGCTTTTAGCTAGTTCAGCTGTTTGCTGGAGGACATTGTTTTCTGGCAACAAAGGGGATCCGTCTGTGGGGTCCCTGTCTGGGTCCGGGTGTCGGTGTCCTACATTCCAGGAAACCATGGTCCTGGTTCTGGCTTCAACGCAAGCACACAGCTCCGTGACTGCAGCCTTCCAAACCGTTCATTCCCAGTTTCAACGCCATGCTGAACTTCAGAATGCCACTCCTCTTCATGCCACTCCTCTTCTGGGGCAGGCACGTATTCTGCAAGCCCAGCGGATTTCCTTTGCAGCCGTTGTTTGCATGTTGTCAGGCATGTAGGGACTGAAAAGCAGATCGAACACCCGAAAAGGAGTGTAGCTGAAAAAGAACGGAGTTGGCGATCGATCTAGACATATCGCTTGCATGAAAACTATGCATCCATTCCTCTGGGTTTAGATCCTTCAGGAGCTGATATACATCAGTAAGATGTTTGAAGACACAAATGAGATATAGTAAGAGTTTAAAAGGGTTCTGCAATAGTAACTGAAGACAATTTGCATATTTGCAAGGCTTGTTAAAAGAGAAAAGAAGTTACATTAAGAATTGTGACCTGGCTTAAAGATTAAAAACGACGAGTAAAGACAAGTAAAGACAAATAGAGACAAATAATGATTAACGAAGACACATAAAACCAAATAAAAACAAACAGAGACAAATAAAGGCACATAAATCCAAACCGTTCGTTGTTCATAGCTTTTGAGGGATCTAAACCCCGAGAAATGCATGAATGGATTTCATACAAGGAACAAAGGTTGCGTCCGCTACAGCAAAGGGGAACTCACATGGGCACTTTGCCGTCCAGTCAGTCATTGAAAGGGAATTCCAACAGCGAATATTTTTGTATATATATATATATATCAGTTCATGAATTTGATGCCGAGTGGCCGAGGACGATGGTCCAGTCACCGGTCTTGACCGTCTCGCTGGCCCCCAGCGCCATGGAAGGCAGTGGGAGCTGGGACTTGTCCTGCCAACTCAATTTGCCTCAGATGGCCTCACTGACTCCGAAACAAACCGGAGCCTGCATGAACGCCTGAAGCAGAAAGGATAAACAACTTCCCTAAACCTTGAATCCTGCGCAGATACACACTTGTTGCGGAGCCACACCCATGGACCCGGAAGTCCGGCGAAGAAGAAGACGACGATCATGGTACATGCAGTGAAACTTTGGTGTGTGATGTCCTGATAATGATTATACCTGTACTAGCACTTTCAGTACCGCTTGAACCTCTACTACGTACCGCTGCTCCTGCTCTTGCTCCTGCTCC